GACCCTATAGGACAAAGTAGAACTGCCCCATAGAGTTTCCAAGGAGCACCTGGTGGATTTGAACTGCCTACCTTTTGGTTAGCAGCCATAGCACTTAGCCACTACGCCACCAGGGTTTCTGGAAGGTAGATAGGATTAATAGCAACCAGTGTTCACTCTGAATAGCAGTTTCACAATGGAAGGACAATGTTTACTCGCATATCACTGGGTGGGCATGTCTTAGGTGTCAGCAGGTGCTCTGTCCCGTTCAGTGCTGGTCCACCTGTCACCCAGCAGCATTGGGACAGCCCTGATCTGGTGGCACCACAACTCCTGAAACAGAACTGTGGCAGGGCCACCCCTACGCAGGCTGCACCCTGGCTGAGTGGACAGGCCCCCTGTGCTGTGGGTCTCTGCTGCTTCCAGTACTGTCTCAGCCCTCAGCTCTTTTCAGTTCTCAGCCCCTTCCTCTCAGACTGCTCTGCTGCCGTTTCTCTGTTCAGCAGACACTGGCTTCTGCTTTCTCCTTGCCTCTGCCTCTCTTTCTCCCAGCTCTACCTCCTGCTGGATCCAGGGTTTCTGCTGTTACTAGTGCCAGTCTGCTGTTCTGCTGCTACTAAAGAATTTTCTAATCCCTTATCCCCAGGGCTGATGTCTCCACCCTGGGACACGATTGGGAGGGAGGGGTATTTATTATGGATTGAATTATGTCCCCCAAAAATATGTGTTGTAAATTCTAGCTTGTATGCCTGTGGCCCTGGTGGCACAGTGATTAAGAGCACCTGATCCAAGCGGTAGTGTTTTCGGTCGTCTCATATGCTTGTGAAAGCTGGACAATGAATAAGGAACATCGAAGAAGAATTGACGCCTTTGAATTATGGTGTTGGTGAAGAATGCTGAATGTAACATGGACTGCCAGAAGAACGAACAAATCTATCTTGGAAGAAGTACAGCCAGAATGCTCCTTAGAAGCACTGGACATGTTATCAGGAGGGATCAGTCCCTGAAGAAGGACAACATGCTTGGTAAAGTAGAGAGTCGACGAAAAAGAGGAAGACCCTCAACGAGATGGATTTGACAGTGTCTGCAGCAATGGGCGCAAGCATAACAACAATTGTGAGGACGGCACAGGATAGGGCAGGGTTTCATTCTGTTGTACATAGGGTCACTATGAGCTGGACGGACTCGACGGCACTTAACAACAACAACTGCCAGTTATTAACAGGGTATGTATATAATTTAAGAAAGGATTTTGAAAACACAACAAAACAAATACTACCAGATACTGATTATCAAGCAGTTCATCGTCGCACAAGCATTAGAAAGAGACAAGTAAACAACAGAAGTGCTCCAGAAGTATCACTGAGTGCCAGAGATGAATTTTGCATAACCACATACTACTCCATCATTGACACACTTGAATCTTGCATGAAAAGAAGGGCCAAAGTGCGTGAAGTTCTTTCAGATAGATTTTCCTTGTTAAACAGTGTGAGTATCCCTGATGAAGAATGCATGAAGGCACCCAAGAAATTAGTGCAGGCTTATCCCGATGACTTAAATATAGGCCTTTACGGAGGAGTGTGACAATTTCATTCTTACATGAGAACTAAGTTTACAGATTCATGACAGATGAGTTTTACTCATGTAGGCATGTATGATTACATAATAGAAGTTAAAATACAATGCACATTTCCCAATGTTGAAGTGGCTTTACACGATTCCTAACTTTAATGATCACAAACTGCAGAACAAAATGTTCATTTTCATCCGTAAAGGGACTCCCTCAGCATACAATGATTCAAGAAAGACTTGATTCATTATCCTTATTATGTATGAAAGTAGATACTGTTGAGTGGCTTAATTGTGATGAAATCATTGAAGAATTTATAAGAGCAAAGAATAAAAGGAAGTGTTTTTAATTATAACATGTTCGACATGAAAGATCTATCTAAAAATAAAATACGGTGATTTGTTATAATATTTGTTTTATGATCATTAAATTTTATTTTATGACATCTTTTCATTTGTTCATGTCTATTTATAGCATTTATTACAAAACAAGCATCAAAGTTGAAGTATGAGCCGTTTAAAGCAAATTGGTGAAAGTCAAATCTTCATTGTGGAAGATCAACAGAATTTTACATTGATTGTTGAAACAACTAAGTCCACCAACTCATTTTCTTTGTTGTAGAATATGTGGTATATTCTTTGTGTAGAAAATGTGGTATATAGTAAAAATCTTAGTACCCTGCATCCACTAAAAATTTTATAATTTCATTTTGCTAAAGTGGCATACACCAGTTTTATGTTCAGTCGCTAATATTATTTGTTGTTGTTGTTAGGTGCCATTGAGTCAGTTCCGACTCATAGCAACCCTGTGTACAACAGAACGAAACACTGCCCAGTCCTGCGCCATCCTCACAGTTGTCGTTATGCTTGAGCCCGTTGTTCAGCCACTGTGTCAGTCCATCTCATTCAGGGTCTTCCTCTTTTACGCTGACCCTCTACTTTACCAAATGTCTTAGGCTGGGTTCTCTAGAGAAGCAAAACCAGTGAAACATATATATAGAGAGAGATTTATATCAAGGAAACAGCTCACGCAGCTGTAGAGGCTAAAACGTCCCAAGTCCATGGATCCGGGTAGAGGCCTCTCCAAATTCATGGAGCCACAGAAGCTGGTGAACCCAAGGTCGGCAGGTTGGAGAAGGGCTCCCACTCACAGGCTATGAAGGTCAGCGAATTCCAAGATCAGCAGACAAGACTGCAAGGTTTCTCCTGATTCACGTAGCTGCAGGGGCTGGCGAACTCAAGATCAGCAGGTTGAGGAACTGGACTTTTGCTCGCGGCCTGAAGATACACGAACTCCAAGATAAACAGGTAAGCTGCTAGCTTAAGTCCCAGGAACCGAAAGTGAGACAACAAGAGGCAGCTGCTGAGTCTGGAACAAGCCAAAAACCTTGGCAAGGCAAGCAGGCAGAAAGTAACAGGCGGAAGGCAGAGAGATGAAACTGAAGGGGCGGTGAGCTGCCTTGGCCAGTACCACTCAGTAGATTCCGTCATGGGGGTGAGCACATATCATATTTCAACAGGGAAGTGATCACAACATTATACAACTGCTAAAACACTGAGAATAATGGCCTAGCCAAGTTGACATACAATCTTAACCATCACACCAAGCATGATGTCCTTCTCCAGGGACTAATCCCTCCTGATAACATGTCCAAAGTATGTGAGACATAGTTTTGCCATCTTCGCTTCTGAGGAGCATTCTGGCTGTACTTCCTCCAAGACAGATTTGTTCATTCTTCTGGCAGTCCATGGTGTATTCAATATTCTTCACCATCACTACAATTCAAAGGTGTCAGTTCTTGTTCGGTCTCCCTTATTCATTGTCCAGCATTCGCATGCGTATGAGGCGATTGAAAACACCACGGCTTGGGTCAGGTGCACCTTAGTCTTCAAGGTGACATCTTTCCTTTTCAACACGTTAAA